AAAGCCTAAACTTCAAAGACTCAATTACATTCAATTAGATTCAAAAAAGATCAGTAGCGAGGAGTAACATCACGTTTTAGAGACAGTCAGTGCACTGTAGGTGGAAGCAGAGATGACAAACGAGAAACAAACTTTAACAGCAGCTGCTACTTCTCCAGATTTGTAAACTTTTTTTACTTTTTTGGTGTATTTTCAGTTCAATAATTGGCTTATTCAGAACTGAGAAACAACAAAGGACTAAAAAAAAAAAAGAAGGTGTGCCTTTTATCTTTTCCATAATCAGGGAAACAAACCAACAAACTAAGGTGGGAGAGGATGAGATGTGCTAATTCTAAAATCTTGAAAGGGTGGTCTCCAGAAACACTCCTTCAACTCACCAATCACTACTTGCTCTGGTTTCATGCACCAGGTGTTTTTAACTGAAAAGGATTCTGAAATTTACTTTTCTTTTTGAGTATATGAAAGAGAAACAGGATTTTACTAATAAAAACAATTCAAATCATTGTTGGGGTACTTCAGCATGGCATTCCAATTTTCATCCAAAAGCATCAAACACGAGTAATAATTTAACCACCACCTCCTTAATAACAAATAGGAATTCACCATTTTTCTAATGTATCAAATATCTAAAAACTAAGACTAAAGGCATATTATGTTATGTAATCAATCAAACTAAATGTAGCAAATACAGAACATCTGATGAATAAAAGAATAACCAGATTTAACAATTGGGCAGTGGTAAGGAATGCTGCAATTGGTTAGATAGATGCTGTCAGTAAAACTTCACCTTTTCTAGAGAAACAGGTAATAAAAAAAGAGAAATACAAAAATATAAAAAAAATCAGTTACTGAATTCAGGTGCCCTGCTGGCTGATTTAAATCAACTACAGACTAGGATTTTAATCCTTCTGATTTATACCAGTCTCTGAAACTCAATAGAGACCCCAGTGCAAGAACGCAGCTCCAATGGTGCGGAGCCTGTGAACGCTGGTCTCTGCGTGAGAGTGCCAAGACCTCCATTACAAGCTGCAGCTCTTTTTTGGCAAGCAGCGCCTCAAACACATGTTTTAAGAACCGCAACGTGCACATGTCTGTAAGATGAGTAACTTCTTGGCAAGACTCAACTTCATTTTGTTGAGGGCCAAGAAAACACCAAGCAAAAAGAAGTTCCTCACCCCAATATCCTACAGCCCATGCTAGAGCTGACATCCATTTCATCTATGTCTAAGGTGAGATGGAAGCTGCAGAACATCCTCTGTGGTCCTCAGAGCCACATTACCAACCCAAGAAAAGGCATGAAAGAACAGGTTTCACTCCCCTTTTGTTTCTTTCCCATCTCCCAAGGATTTTCTGCATCCTCACTCTCTGGAGCAGGATTTTCCAACCTCCTTAATCTGCCCGACACTTCTCAACAAGCTGAAATACTGATGTTTCCCCCATTCTCTTGCTTCTTCCATCCCAAGAAAACAACTGCAGCAGACCCTTACCCATCCAACCCCAAGGCAGCTGTATTTGCAATGTATGCATATACATTTTACTGTATTTGGTGACACAAAACACTTTGGTGACAAAATGCAGTCTACTGATCCCTCAGCAAGATTTGCAGCTTGCTTGCTCGTGAGTAGAAACCAGATGAAAGCTAGAACGTAAGCCCTGTTCAGCATCTTGGTGCTACGTATGCCCAGCTGTGTGTCCCAGGGCATACGGTCCAAGACTCCACCGTGTTCCACCACAAGGCCCTCCTGCCCGTGCGCACCAGATGCTAAAGGTTGAGGTTCCCGTCCACAATCCAGCCTTGGCCCTGCAGGGTGATGAGCACCCTGAACTCCAGGATTTGGAACAAGATAAAAGGGAGAAGATGAAGCACTTGAGTGGGACTGATCCTAGAGCATGCCAGGTGCAGGAATTTGGAGCAGATATCTGCTGAGCCAGTGAATCAGAGAGCGATTTGAAAACAAAGCAATACACAACTGATCAGGCCAGACGGCAAAATTCCTTGCAAGTCATTTGCAAAAACAAGTGGCCATCCACTGCAATTTTTCTGTCAGATTTGAAGGGAAACATCTATGTTGCACATTCCTGTGTAAGTGAGCTGAGGCTTCACAGGACTGACTGTATACACCCAGACCCCTCCCCACGCTGCTGGGAAAGGGGCTGTGTGGAGGCTCTCTCGCACAGCACAGTATTTGTGAAACCGCTGTGGCTGGTGAACATATTGGCTTGCTGCTCCCTCCTCAGACCTCTTTAGTCTGCAGACTTCTGGACATCAGTGACCCAGGAGGGCCATGAAACTCAGAGGCTGACCCTGGTTACACCCACCTTGGGCACCCCTCGGGACTGCCCCTCTCAATTCCCCAAATTCCCTTGAGCTTGTTGCATCCCAGGACCAACCACAAAAGAGAAGGGAGGCTCTAGACCACATGGGAGCATCCCCAGAGCCACAACCAGCTCCCATCCCACAGCGGGCAGCAACAGGTGGGCAGGCAGCATGTTTTGCCATTCTCCACTCTCTTCTTCCAGCTGCACTCCTTGAGAAGGGGTCATTTATTTGGCTGAGTGGGCAGGGCTGTGTCAGGAGTGAGGCTCCTTATAGTCAGGGAGGGAAGAGGAGGTCAGCCCTGGGCAGTGAAAGGAATGGCTCCTCTCAACCCTGAAGCAAAATTTGTTGAGAGCATAAAGCAGGAGAGTGGTGAGGACGGCTCAGGTCATAGGGTGACCATCAGCAGCTGGGATGACTGTGACCAGTACCAGCAGCTGAACAGGAGGACCTGGCTGTACAGGACCAACACTTGTTCCAGGACGAGGCAGCAAAGCTGGACCCAAGGAAGGCAGGCCACCTCTGCAGTGAGCTGCCCCTCTGGCCTTGGCCTGGGGACCTCTCAGGCTGCCACTAGAGCCAATGCTTGATTAGGACCTGAAAAGCCAGCAGGCTGGGAAATGAAGTAGCCAGAAGGCTGGTGTCCTGACAAAATGCCAGGCAAGGCATGCCTCTGGGCACCAGCATTGCCCTGAGCCTTCTCCCAGTGGGGAGACTGGGCTACCAAGACCCAAAGCCATGAAACCACGGGTGGCAGCTGTGCCTGGTGCTCCCAAACTGTCCAGGAGGAGAAGCTGTTCCAAACTGCCATTCAATGAGCTGTGTCTCCAGCTCACTCCTGGGGGGGCTCATCCTGCAGTAAAGCCGCGAGACACAGGGTGCCACTGGCTGCTGCCTCTGTAGGCAGGCAGAGGATCACAGATGCCTGGGGCAGAGCTGCTCTGGATCCAGCCTAAATGGAGCAGCCAGCAGACTGCAACACACAGGGCACATGCGTGCTGCTGGTGGTGCCGGGGAGGTGGACATAGTCGCACTGCTGGCCTGGCATCCTTCACAGCACCCATGCAAATCTCTGTCTAAACAGCGTGTGAAAAGCAAGTTTGCCACTGGGATGGAGTGCTGCAAGAAGGGAGCTTGGCTGTTGGGCCTTGCTTCCCCATGGGCAGTGGCTCACCATGTATGGGGGAGAGCTGGGAGTGCTGCCCCACAGAGGGAGCTTGGCAGAAATGAAGAAGTTCTAAAGGACTGGAGAGGGACACGAACACCACCAGGCAGAGACACCTGTGTAAGACAACAGCACTGAGATAAAACATGGGCAGAAACCAATGGCAGACAGATGATACTCCAGAGCTGGGGACGCTTTGTTAGGGTAAGAGATGACAGCAACAGAGAGCTCTTGCCATAAATAGAGGAAAGACAAGGCACAAACCAACCCTGCATCCTCCAGGAGACCCTAGGAAAAGGCCAAGCCCCCAGAGCAGGACATGTACACACAACTCCTGCAGTCCCCACTCCCTCTCTGTGTTCCCTCCAACATGGCACACAAGCAAGGCAAATCTGCTCCCAGGCAAGGAAGCAAATTTTAATGCTACCTCTGTCAATAATGCAACCAGATCCATAGTTCAAAAGGAGCTTGCTAATTAAAAGCTGGTGAGCTTTAAATAATTCATCTCCTTAACTTGGATTGATTGGAGAGTTTAATGGTTAGTCCTGAAACAATATTAAACAGACTCCTTAAGGTCCAGGTAGCCAGTGACTTTTCCAAGTAAATCTTACCTCCTTGAAAACTTTAATGTTCACCAGTCACCGTGGATGAAGGGCTGGGAGACAGAGGAAAACACCTGACTGGTGTCCAAGAGGTGATCCAATGCCCCACAGAGAAACAAGACAGGCAAGAGAGATGCAGCCCTGAGTTATAGCCCTGCCTACAGCCCAGTAAATCTGAGCTCCTGCCCATACCACAGCCTGCTGCTGCCCCAGCTCTGCATGCCCAGCATTAAGCAGCAGGCAGATATATGGCCTCAGTGTCCTGGGCCAGATTTCCCTCCTCGTATCACTTTGATCCCTGGTGCAGAGGAGTAAGGGGAACATGGAGCTCTGCCACGTGCACGGTAGTCTCAGTTGTTTATCTTGGAGCAGGCTGCGGGACCATGAAACTCATCACATATGTGAGCAAATGGGACGATGATCCAGTTCTCCAGCTGGGGCCATGCATCTTCACTCTGCAGTGTGTTTCCAGCCAGTTCCTGAGGCTGTGCTGCCTGGCAGAGCCACCTTTCCAAGGATGAATGCAGCATCCAGAGCAGCTGGAGGACTGGTCTGAGAGCAAAAGCATCCCACCCAGCCTGGGGGACCCCTGCCCTGCGCTCCAGGCACTGTGTGAGCGCTGGTGCTGCCCACATCCACCCCCAGCTGGAGCACTGCCAGAGCAGCCAAGGAGAGGAGCAGCTCCCCAGCCAGAGGGACGAGCAGGTGTATTTGGCACACTGAGACATGCCAAGGACAAAGAGCTCATCCCCTGTGCCCGTCATGCCCTGACACATCTTCATCCCATCCACCAGCCAGAGACCTTGCTGCCCTTTGGCTGGCTCTCAGCCCCCTGGCCTGGACCAGCTCCGAGGAGCTGAGGCATGTCCCGCACGCCTGGAGCAGCAGCCGCGGGGACAAGAAGGGCATCACTCACCTATCCCGCTGTGAGGCCTCCCTATGTGCTGTAGATTCAGTCCTTTGTTCATGTCTAAGAGCCCGTTCTTTGGCCAACTCCCCATGGCAAAGCTGTACGCCTGGAAGAGAGAAGCAGAGGGTCAGATCGGTGCCACAGCCCACGCGCAGACACGTTTAGGGGGCAGTGCCTTGCTGCCAGCAGCCAGCTGGGTTCGCCCAGGCCCAGCGGCTCCCAGGGCGAGTGTGGGTCTGTTCAACATGTTCAGTGTGGGCCGTGCTCAGTGCGGACCTGTGCATCGCCCTCGTAGCAGCTCTCCTGGAGCCGCCAGCACAAAGCACCCTCACCCTGGCCTGTCCCACCTGATGCTCCTCAGAGAAGAGGTGTCCAGGGTCTGTCCCTGAGCCTTGTACAGGTGACAACCTTCACGAGGTTTGCTGTGCGGGACTGGCATCACCTGAGGCCACCTTTGCCGTGCTGGGGTGAGCCAGGGGCTGTGAGTTCATCCCACATCTCCTTGGGCTGTTCCAACATCATTCCCCCATTCCTGCTTCACCAAGCTGGGTGCTGGCAGCAGGAGTCGGGGGGATTTGGAAAGGAGTGCCCATGCCCAGGCTGTCCTGGCTGATAGTCCCCTTCACCTCTGGCAAGCACAGCCCTCCCAGCCTTCCCTCTCCTTGTCATCCCCAGAGCCCTGGGGCTCTCCATCACTGGGAGAAACCCCACTGGGAGCCAGCACTGCTCACCCCACTGCACAGAGCCTGCAGCCTGGCTGTAGGGAACCTGCTCTATCCTGGCCATGACCCCCAGCAAGGCTCCCAGCAGGAGTGAGGCAGCCTGGAGCCTGATCAGCACAAAAACCCACTGGACAACGCAAACGTGAAAACAGCCAGGCCTCCATGTCACATGCATGGCTGTAATTACAGCCTGACAGCCACGTATCTTCTTCATCTTGAGGAATTAAGCTCAGCGCCACATTGTGAGCAGTAAGAAGGGCGCGTGGGCTTAGTGTCGCTCACGCCGGCGCTATCTCTGCTGCCGTGAGGGCCATTGTCCCCAGATGAGATCAGGTCAATCCAGCAGCCCCTATCTCCCTCCTGCAGCGGGGATCATCGCTAACCACGGCCGTGGCACGGCAGGGCATCGCTGACACACTCTGCAGGCTGCAAACACTGAGGGAGATGCTCTGTGCAGCGGGAATGGGCCGAACTGGGTAAGCGGAGCTGAGCGGTTTCCCCCACCAGCCCACCACCCACCTGCCTGCCACCGGGACCTGCTGCCAGTCCTTCTGCCCCTGCTGCCTGCTGCCCTGCCCAGTGCAGGCAGGGCCGGCCCCCGCAGAGCCCCTGCTGCTGGCAGCCCCCTGGGAGCTATGGGGCTTCGGGGAGTTAATTTATTACTGGTCTACGCAACCATTCATGCTGCTTTGTTACTCCTGCCTTAGCAAAACAGAGGGCTCCACAGATAATTAATAGACAGCATTGCTAATCCTGTTGGGAGATGATTAGCAATTAAAACTCCTAATTAAGTCTATGCATAATTCACTGAAATTACACTTTGTGTACACAACAGAGAGGTTTTCTTTGCCTTCAACAAACATGTTCTGGCATCTTCATCGCCATGCCTGGGATGCAGGCTAGCCAGCCATGAGGCAAGGGGGAGCTGGGGGCTGGGGTGCAGGATGGGACCCTGTTGGGTGGCCCTGGGTGACAACGGCAGCAGCTCTCTGCCTGTGGCTCCCTTCCCTGGGCTGCGTCCCAAAGAGCAAGCCCAGGCACAGTGCAGGAGGGTCCCCACGCTCAGCACCAGTGGGTCCAGGCCTGGGGTTGCCAGCAGCGGGGGATACATCTGGGGAAGGGATGTCCCTGCACCCTTTGGGGGAGGACACTTGGGGCAGGGAGGGAGCAGGGCTGTGCCTGAACAGGCACAAGTCAGGCTTTGAGCTATCATATCACAGGCTGCCTTCCCAGCCCAGACACATCCCTTGAATCCCAGCCAGGAGCAACCGAGGGAGCACAGCAGGGGGCTGGCAGGATCCTGCAAAAGCCACGGGGACAGCTCTGGAAAGCTCCTGACAGCTGGGTGCTAGTGCCAATACCAGCCTGCCTCCCCTGGCTCTGCAGCAGCAGTGTCACCAGGGAGCTGGCAGCATGTGCCCCAGCCCCAGGATCGGCACCTGGCCCATCTTTGCATCACGTTTTGCTTCCCTAATCAAGGTCATTCGGTACAGTCGCAATACCTGAGCAAACTAGCTAAGCAGCCAGGGTGGAAGTTGGCCTGACCACTGAAGGTCAAGTGTGCACTTATGCATATTCAAAGCTGCCTGCAGGATCGATCAGGTTTTAATTGTTTTTCCTGGGGTTTTGGAAGGAAGTGCCATGGGCATTGATCAGTCCCAGACGAAGCCGCTCACACTTTGGGGCTGGCAGGGACCGTCACTTTGCTGCAGGCAGAGGGAAATGCAGGCAGAGAGGCAGAGATGAAGGCAAGCCAGGGGAGAGGTCAGCCAGCCCCGGCTGGGAGGAGGAGCCATTGCTGGGCTGCGTTAGAAAATAAAGTTTTTTAATTAAAATTGGCAATTCTGAGCCGCCTGCCGGCAGCAGCCACACAATCAAGAGCGAGGAGCTTTGCTGTTTAATATTTAAAGACAACGTTTAATCTTTAAACAGGAAAGTTCTTCTTCTGACTATTAAAGCGAGGCAGAAAGTGCCGGAGGCTCCCTGACACAGGGCTCCCCAGCCCGCCGGGGTGGCCATGGCCACCGGCTCGCTGTGAGCTCACCGCAGCCACCAGGCCACTGGTGTGGACCGCAGCTGCTCTCCTGCCAGCTCTGCTGCTGCCCCAGCCCCACGCTGCCGCCGGCGGCACAGCCCCTGCCCCTTCAGCACTTACCCTTACGGCAAACCGCGAGAAAGTCTGAGATGCCCCTGGTTTGTTTGCAAGCCAAAGGATTTAAAAAAAACGCCATGAAACCCTTTTTGCAAAGAAATCACACTAATTTGTCCCTCCCTCTGGTTCAATCTGGTGTTGGCAGGGACTGGGTTCCTCCCTTCTAGGTCAGACACTGAAACAGGGCCAGGACCCTGTGGCATTTTATTTTCATCTGCATTTCAATGGATAAAAAATGCAGGCATCTTTTAAAAAAGCTATTTTAAAATGGTTTTGGTCAAAATTCTGATTTAAAGACAAACTCAATGCCTCTGATCTGCTAAAAAACCACCCAAACGATGTTTGCAGAATAATTTTCAAGCAGCTTGAACACAATTATTTCCATTCATAACAGCTCCTAGAAAGGTCTTCCTTTTTCCCTGATTTTGTTTGTAATGCTATGAAGGCTACATTTACCTCCCTGCCAATGCTGCTCTGAAGTCAGATGATTATTAATTATATTTATTTACTTATACAATCCCATAGGCATACGCAGCAGTTCACAAATACTGCCCTGGGTCCCTGATGCAGGGGTCTCGAATCGAAGGTAAGCAGATACTCCTGTGATAAATGTGAGCTAACAGCAGCAGGAGATTAGGAACATACTGTTTCCATGCACAGATCAAGCACCACAGATAATCCACACCTTGTTAAAAGTGTCCATATGGGGAGGTTGGTCCTTAGGTAACCCACACCTCACATAACCTGCAGAAAACCCAAAAACCAGAAGTGGGGTTAAGACATGGGGTACAGCAGACTGGGGTATGGATATGATGTGTGAGCAGAATCACAGCATCCAGAGCTTGCATTATAATAAAGCAAAAAGAGTCTGAAACCATTCTCCTGTTGCACTGGGTCAGAAAACTTCCCAGTGGCCATGATGCATCTGCCTCAATTTGCAAAGAGCCTGAAACAAAAGTTCCGTGGCCCATTTCTGGTAGTGCTGGGGGACAAAGATGATCCTCCGTGCTGAGACAGGAGTGCATGGAGGAAACACCAGTGAGGCTGGGCAGTGTCACAAGCACTGCTTGCAGGGGAAAGAACACAGGATTTGTTCAGTTTGGTACCTAGTTTGCCCTGCCTGCTCTTGCTGCAATCCAAGTGCAAACCAGCCCCTGTCCCCTGCAATGCTGGGGCCAGCAAGGCGGCAGCACCAACACAACTGGGTCCTGATGCCCTGCTCCCTGGAGCTTGTTTGGGCTACGCACCCCGGTTTATAAGCAGCACAGCTGCAGAGAAGATGTTCCAAGGGGTCAGAAAATTCCCAGAACTGGAACTTGTCAAGCTGATGTATTGATCTAAGTGGACTGAATAATGCTCCATCATTTATTTATGGGGAAGTGCCCAGCACACTTCACAAAAACTGGTGTTCGGCAGTCACATTAAGGCAAGATTTAACATCCCGCATCATGCAAACAGGGCACCTGCGCAGAGGTCAGGATGCTTACTTACACGGGGAGCCCCACAAGTCCTTCCTGCACATGCAGGGAGGGATGGGGCTGGTCCTCACGGAGCTGCTGGAGCTCTGCTAGTGCAATGTGCCGATGCTGACATAGCCAGCCCTGTCCTTTCTGCTCATGTTGACGCTGTGACCTGCTCGGCCAGCCCCCAGCCCCTCTGCCCTCCACTAAAGCTGCCGGCATTGCACTGCCCTGAGTGCTTTAGCTGAAGGGCAGGAGGGAAGCAGGGCTCTGTGCTTTGCAACAGCACAAGCATGTTCACAAACCACAGCGCTAAGAACTGCCAGGAACGACACAGAGCCTCCCCCTGCCCTGCCCAGCCTGGAAACCCTGTCATTTTTTATGTCCCATCAAGAGGTTTTAAATGTTTCACCCGCTAATTGCAATTTTAATATTAATACGGACACTTTCAGGCAGGGAGAAAATACTTCCTTTTGGAAAAAATCCTCCCAGGACCAAAGGGGCTCAGCAGTTTGAGAAGATGCTGGAAGGGTGGGTACTAATAAATAAAAAAGTGCGATGTTTTTTGCTGAAAGTTTCTGTTAAGAATTTCAAGAAGATGCCTTAGAAGAACATGTTTTTAAACAGATAGAAAGCAGTTGTGAGATCTCCCCAGCTGACCTCAGCCTGGGCACGCAGCGGGCACCAGCTGTGCTCCCCCAGGATCAGGCCAGGCACAGCAGCACGCTGATAGCAGCCAACCCCCCTGACATTTTTGCAATAGAGAAAATGA